TCGTCCGCCTTTGTGCGCCTTAGTGCGCCTTCGTCCGCCTTTGTGCGCGGTACGATCCCTAAAGCTCGCCTGACCTCGCGCTCAACATTGGTCATGACCGTGCATAATCATACAAGTGTTGCAATGCTTGATGACTTAGTGCATGACACTTTTATGGCACGCTTCTGCGAACAAGTGTGCGGCTATCTCATATCTTCGATAGTTTAGAGTTAAACCTCGAAAGTGAGTGCTGTTCAAACCTGGCCTCTAACAAGTGAAGGTTGCTTTAAAAAATTTGAGAAGAAAAATATATGAAAATTAACAGAAGAAGCAAAGAAGCTTTTGAAAAACGGGTAGTAACGCTGCAATCAGTTTGAAATCTTATTGGAGGCGACTCGCAGGTCTTCGCTTTAGGAACCTCCGATTCTAACTGAAGAGGAAACAGGACTAATCTTTATTCGGCAACTTTCTCAAGGGCAATCACAATTTGGAGTGGCCATTGGTAAGAAGAAGATAAACAGGAAAACAACATCATGAAATGAAAAGTTTTGTTTTTCTATAGTCAAAACGCACAAGTAAATCTGATTTTTGATGCGTTTCAAATTTCTACTTATTGGTTTTACCAAATGCACAACAAACCGTGTGAGAAGAGGTATCCTTTGCTTTATTGCGAACGGAGAGTAGAAGCGGCGGCTTCGATCGCTAGAGCCTAGACAATAATTGAATAGAGATGAGATGCAGGCTTGATCAACGATCGAAGTCTCGCCCTCCACCCGCCACTCATAGTGAAACAAAGGGTACAATACCGCTCACATTTTTTTAAAAATAGGCGCAGATGTACTGTAATGTAATAGCACTTTTTCTGTAGATTATGAAGTGCTAAATAGTAGCCGCAGATTTCTTTTCAAAAGAAATAGAACGGCTGGTGAATTGTGGAAAAATGTTGTTGTCCCAAATTCTATTCGCCACAGCCCCAGGATATGAAGCTATCTTGCTAAGCAAATGGGAGTTTCGAAATCAGCAGGTCGCATAACCTCTACGAGCAAGTTTTCGATATGTTCGGGTTATTCCATTTCTTCTCGTTTTACGCTCCGGAAGCTCGCCGATGGATTTGGTCAAAATGTTGATGCTCTTGAATTGCAAGGAAATTTCGCTTATAGAGGCTTTCGAACACGCTCTTTAAAATCGTGGTTTTTGAGGATTACAGGGTCTTTTTGGAGAGATACGATGAGGTGACTGTAACTGCATCACGAGAGTGCGTAATTTTGCCCGCACTTCTCGCGTATCTGTCAGAAACCTTGCCTGCTTGCTTTTCTCAGTCAAAGCTACTAAAAATTGTGCTATTGAACGGTGCATGACAGGCTCCAGTCTATAAAATTCGCCGAGTTACGAGCCTACGAAAACACGTCCTCATGAATTTTGCCCAAAATGTAAAGATCGCATATTTCATCGAAATTCCTCCGTGAGAGCTTGTATGACGTTCGTTGCAGATATTATGTTCGCTTCGTCCAACGACTCCCACTGTATTGAATATGGTGCTTGCGTGTGCTTCAGCTGCTCAATTGAATATCAAAGCTATTTCGTGGCTAGGCTCAAAGCACCATCTAACACAATAAGATCCATTTAAAATGTGGAAGGATTTGATCAGCGCGTTGTACAAGCGCTCAAGGAGGAATTTCGACGAAATATGCGATCTTTGCATTTTGGGCAAAATTCATGAGAACGTGTTGTCGTAGCTCGTAACTCGGCGAATTTCACAGAATGGAGCCTGAGTCATGCACCATTCGATAGCACAATTTTTAGTAGCTTTGACTGAGAAAAGCAAGCAGGCAAGGTTTCTGACAGATACGCGAGAAGTGCGGGCAAAATTACGCACTCTCGTGATGCAGTTACAGTCACCTCATCGTATCTCTCCAAAAAGACCCTGTAATCCTCAAAAACCACGATTTTTAAGAGCGTGTTCGAAAGCCTCTATAAGCGAAATTTCCTTGCAATTCAAGAGCATCAACATTTTGACCAAAATCCATCGGCGAGCTTCCGGAGCGTAAAACGAAAAAAAGTGGAATAGCCCGAACATATCGGAAAACTTGCTCGTAGAGGTTATGCGACCTGCTGATTTCGAAACTCACATCTGCTTAGCAAGATAGCTTCGTATCCTGCGGATATGGCGAGTAGAATTTGGGACGACAAGATTTTTCCACAATTCACCAGCCGTTCTCCTTTGAAAAGAAATCTGCGGCTACTATTTAGCACTTCATAATCTACAGTAAAAGTACTATGGAAAGATCCTTGCTGAAATGTACTTGGGGCAATGCTCGCTGCTTTACACCTTCGCGAAAAGACGTTCTCAGAAAGATAACACTGAAATCGAAATATAAGGACATGCTGTACATAAAAAGATTCGCCTTGACGAGCTGAGCAAGGCGCTGTTTTCGGATTCAAAATATATAAATTCCGAAGGAATTTATGGCGAGTAGGACTCAAAAACGCGTGATTTTCCAAAATTCACCAACGTTTCTATCTCCTTTGGAAAGAAGTCTGAACCTATTTTTTAGCGCACAATAATCCACAAGAACAGTATTATCGAATATTACGTATTGTTAGTAAAGCCTTCCATGTTGGGTAGGCGTTGCTTGACATATTCGCGAAAGGAACCTCCTTAAAAAAGAAACTGGAAACGGAATATCGAAGACATCGTACCCCCACTTCCAATATATCTGAAGATTCTCCGCGCCGAGCTGAATCGAATGGTGGCTTTTGATTCAGAATTCGTCCACTCTGAAGCGAGATATGGCCGCGCGACGGTGATGTCCATACATGTCGACGGTGATGTCGCTACATGTCCATACATGTAGCGACATGTCCATACATGTCCATACATTCGCGTCTATTTCTCAAAAAATGTGAGCGGTATTGTACACTGAGAAATGATCAAAAACAGAATTATTGTCAAACTTCACCTAGTCATAAACTGCAGAGTGTGGCGTTGTAAGCGCATAAATACACCAGGGTAAGGGCTACATGCCGGGATTAATTCGAAACAACGAGAAAAGGGTACTAGAGCCAAATGTATTGTTTGTAGCGGAAGTAGGCGCGACAGGTGGAAGCGCAGACGAGCAAAGGAGAAATACTAGAAACTACAGGGCATTCGGCTCTAATCGCAGACCTCCGCGAGTTCTTAACATAACTCAACGGGGTGGGGGAACGAAAGCCGCCAGTTTGAGACGTCTTTCGCGGCTGACTAGTCCTTTCGCAACGTTGTTGCATGTCGTTCCAGGACCAGCAGTCCGCGCAGGCGACCGAAGCTGCCGGCTTTCGTTCCTCCACCCAACTCAACGTTATAAACCATTCTCATTGTCAAGACACGAATGGATGCCCTGACGTTGCCAAAGCTGAAAATCTACAAGCGTGACAAAGCAGCACTTTCGGGTGCAACTCTTGCTCTAGTTTTGATAGCAGCTTTGACTTTTATCGAATTCCCAAACTTCTTGTTCAATATTTTTTTCGAGAAATTGAAACTGTGCTTTCTTTTTCGCTCGACACGAGGATTACTACAGTTCATGATTCTATGTATCGAAGATATGCTACATTTTCCCAGCCGATTTAGACCCAAGAGAACGCGGACATTGGGTTCGGGAAAAGCGAAAATAAGAAACTAAGTGCCAAGCATTTGTTAATTGCAATACTCTTATCACGCTCGCAAAGAACATTTTCAAATATGACAACACGAAGTTGATTTATTCAAAATGAAACAACCACATTACCAAAACTTACTCCCAATAATTTGTCACTCACCTAGTGAAAAGGTTGCCATTTTTAGTAAAGTACATGCTGAGGCGATAAGAACAACAAAGTCTACAGTTGACAAGCACAATCAATGCTTTCAGAACAAATGTTGCAAGCGCTTCTGCTAACTCCAGCTGCACAAGGTAAAAACAAAGGGTAAGTAGAGGACATTCGGAAAATCGTGGCGATAGAACAACCGCGCTCAACATCACGCCTTCCGACAACCGCATTTTCTGAGTTTTCATCTCCACTTGAATGGTTTTCTGCTTACATATGATATTTGGACATTGGAAGTGATTAAGGTGAGAGTTGAGGGGATATCTTTTTGTATGAAAGTTTTTATTTTGTGGGAGCAAACAATGTACTCAAATTCGTCGTCACGAATTTATGACTGACCTATATAAAGTTTAGCGCAAAATTCCCGCCCTCTTCCCTTCCTCTATCAACAGATTTTGAGTTATTTGTGGTTCTACTTGCATATAAAGTCCATCATCGCCAAATAGTGAAACAAAGACAGCTTCTCCTAAGATCTTCTTCTTGCCAAGGTTGCAATATTTTTATGAAACTCGCAAAGGACATCGGACATTTCCAGGGATTTATGACACTCGAAGTTGAATTCAGAGATAGAACAGAACAACCGGCACTACCAAATTTTTCACAATAATTTTTCACTTACGTGATTTCAAATGTTGCAATTTTTAATAAAGCCCACGCTGAGCCGATAAGAACAATGAAGTCCTCCATTGACGAACACGATCAATTGTTTCAAATTAAATTTTGCGAAGCGCTTTTGTTAACTCCATTTGCACAAAGCTCAAGAAACAACGAGTAAGTATAATATTTAGTTCATAAAAATGCCGCTCGCTCCCCTACTTATTTAATAGATTTTGAATTCTAGTGATTCTACCTGCATATGAAGTCCATCAGTCGGTGGCTGAGTAGCGAAACTTCCCGGTTTTTCCTAGAATGTTACTGAAAAGCTGTTGTGCTTTTGTTGAGAATAGATTTTTGCGATGTAGAATAATCACAAAATAATAAAAGATTGTATGACATACAAAAAGCTTTATATTACGAGCAAAAAAGTTTCATCGAAAATTGTCCTAATTCAATGACCGGTGCTGCTAAAAAAAATAATACTACTGGACTCCTTTTGATAGATAGGATTTAATGAAATTGGCAATTCACATATACATCCCATCGTAGCTTAATAAAAGCCATCAAAGTAAAGCAGAAACTTAAGGTAAATCATATTTGTTGTACTATGTGTGCGCTGCCCATAAAGTATGCTGCATTAATGAATTTTATAATGGTAGGTTTCATGGCCTTTCCTGATCTCATATTTCTTCGCGATTTTTCAGGCACTCTGTTTCTCTTCTCGATCCGGGAAACTATGCGACATATCTCCTCCCGGTGTCAATATGGCAATAAGGGTGCTACCTGATACCTCTTACCTGGTAATGTTCAGCGCTTTAAATACCTGTCGCAATGCAAACAGATTAGATCAAATGCATCCACTAACGGATTAGAAGCCCACTTCTTTCTCTTCCCTTCCTGAGAATAGAACGACGAAATTCCAATAAAGCTTTGATTAAGCTGAGAATTTTTTCCTTGTAAACCTAAGATGATCTTTAGGGTTCATTGGTGCAAATCTGCATCGTAGATTTTCCGTGGTATATGCAGTCACGTCCCTTTCTTTGAAATTCTGACAATATGGGAAAGTCAAAACAGTTAGCAAAGTCCTTTTGTCAAAGTCAAAGTCCTTAGAGCCATGGAACAGGGCTCGGCACCAGGTCAATGAAGTAAAAGAAAGGAAAGTCAATGAAGTATTAAAAGAAAGGCAAGTATAGGCAAGGTCAAGCTGGATTGCTTAAGGACTCGCTTTGCGATCGGAGAGATTCGCCAGTGAAAAAGAGGGCTATAAAAAAGCCTAGTAAAAAAAATTACAAGGCGATTTTTTGATCGTATGGAAGTATGCAAAAAATATATTCGAGCAAAGGCTCGGTTCCAGCCCAGCTGGCATTCAGCTGAGCTTCCAGCTAGCGAAAAAAAAGTTTAGCACGGTCTTTATTCCATAAGCTTTCATAAATATATAAGGAAGCCGGCCGCATGCAGGGGGCAACTTGTGGCTCTCCTATGCGGATCCAGCAGGACGATATCCCCTTTGCTTCCTACCCCCCCCCCCCCCGCTTCTAGCGGTGCCGAGCCCTGCCATGGAACACCTACCCTTCTTCATTTGAAAGTTGCCCCTCCCCTCAAAAAGTCTTATTGTTAGTACCGTCACACCTAGCCTAAAACCTCTCCCAATATTGTATTATTCGATCGTAAAACCTCAAAAGCTGCCGTATTCGCTTTTTAGAAGTACAACTGCAATCTTACCAAAGCCGCTAGCAGAGCTGCAAACAATCCCGACGAGCCATATAAGGGAAGAGGGAAAGTCCTGCAATTTCCAGAGTATGTGCATGATTCTCAAGATTTTACACTCAAAATTCTCTACGATTGTTTAGCACTCAATCTGTTTAGACAAACGAGTGCAAGGAACATAGCGAAGGCATTATTAGCAGAGGTAAGCGCAAGTTTTGAGAGTTTTGTTGAGAATACTGCAAAACTGATTAGTAAAAAATAGATCCCAAACCTATATCGCGTCAAAGTTTGCATGGTCAACAAGCAGTAGTCTTCACCAAAATATTCAGAGTCAAAAATCCAGTCAACAGATTCTATTGTTATGTGTGGATCACTCCAGCCTGTTGTAAAAAAGGGCAAGCTACCTTAAATCTGATTGACAAGGCGACGAAAACGCTGAATTAGATCTGTTATGAATGGAAAGATTAGTGCTCTTGTGAGCTCTAACGAGAGGGCCGGGACGTTTTCCTTTTTGACTGTACCTCATGCGATAGCCCGCGGTGGAACCAGCCTGCTATTGTGCGGTCAAAATTGTCCAGCAGTGTAAAATACATTCCTGTTCTAGTGGTCTTCCTGGGCATTGCTCTATATTGAACCATATCAAGCTTTACACGCTGTGCTATCTTGCGCCATGCAGACTACAGTTATGGTTACAATTCTTCCAGCTTTCTCCTGAGGACTTCAGGAAAAGTCGTTCACTTACACATACACCCAACAAAAGAGTATCTACATATTTAGTTGGCTCATAAGTCTTTTCTGTTTTCAAATTCTGCCGCAATAAGTCATAAGATTCTTATCCTCTGATTGTGAGTAGGTTTCGCAATATTTTTCGGTAGAGCAAAGTAATCTCTACGATGTAGCATCGAAACATTTGCATGAACTGTGGTCTTCATAATGCTTGAAGCCAAATTTTGAAGCTCCGGATGACCGCATAATCGAGAGAAAGCCTAATCCTTTTCAACTTGTTCAAGCACATACTCTACACATCAACCATCCATATGTGCATTCCTTTATGATTTTTTTTCAAATTTTCCATGCTGGAAATCGAGAAAACAAAGATTTTCATGTTTTTGGCAAAGTCGTGCGGGACTTTTCCCAAAGTATAATCATGTTTCACGGGTAGGCCACTATGTCTGAGAATCAAAGAACACATGGACGGGATGCGTAGATCGAGGTTATCCACGCTCCTAGGCACACACCGTAAGCAGCGCCATCAAAACGCAGAATTCGATATCTCTATATCAATTCTGTCGCGAGAATCAGAAGTGGCGGCGCGCAAAACATTAGAAGCCTGCTGGATTTCCGCTAGGAATCCAAAAATGAATAGGAAAGAGGAATGCATCGCCATCACAAACGAACTCGCGCCGCTCCTGGAGTTATGCGGGTTTGAGCAACACCCTTATACCCGGGTGCCGTAGCTCATTAGTCACTCAACGCATGTCAGTGGTGGTCTGCAGTCCTCACTCGGCAGGTTTAAGGTGAGCTGTCTATAGGCATTCACAACTTTCCCTTTTCCTGTGACGATAGGACAACTGGAGGGTAGATTTCATTTACTGCTCACTTGTTAGGCTCTGAAGAAGGCAAATCAGCCGAAACGTAAGCCTAATGAAAGAGTTGTAACAATCTTGGTCAAGGCTTAACAACTGCACATAAGGATTCATCACCATGCCAAGATTCATTCAAAGCCGAACATGGGAAATCATGTTTCATTTTTGCAATTGTTTGTTTCTGTAAAAGATCAAGTTAAGCTCAGAAAACCTTGAAATTTCGACAATTTTGCATTTTAGGCTTACTGGTGTTCCTCGATCTTGAGAAATGGAAATATGCAAATTACATCTGAATCCCTGTGCGAAGAGTACGTGCTAGAGCAAGTGAAGCGCATAGAATATGAAAGTATGCTTTTATCAATTTGAGCGCTTGGAGTTTTTTATACTCTAGCTTCTAACTTTATGTGGAACTAGCTTTGTGCAGTTGTTTGGTAGTCATCTTTAACACGTTTCGGACCGGTGCTGCACATGGTGCAGCACCCTGCTTTGAAGGATATTCTTGACGTTTACAGGAGGTTTTCTTTTAGTCTAAGGTTATGAAGTCAAAGGCCTAAGCTTCTACTTTTCAAATGACTCTTCAAAGTTGTGCCGCCGATATTTGTTTAGAAGATATGACCACGAATCTAACAACAGTTGCAATGAAATGCGGCAACGCGAACGACGCGTGCGACGTCGCAAATTTCCTTTGCTTCGATATCAAAGAGAAAAACCGTAGTTTCAGTACTGATGTGTACCGTCCACAACATGGATACTTTCGGGTACTATTAGAAACTGAGCTGTCGTTCCTATCCAAGAAAGCACGGAAGTCTTTCTCAAGTGACAAAATTCAAACACTTCGAATTCACTCAGAACTCTGGATATGGAGCTTATCCGACATGGTCATTACAGATGTAGCACACAGTTTTCAAAATAAGGTCCCGTTGTTGGGTAACGGTTGGAGGGACACTCTTTTTCGCCGCGCGCGATTTCGCGGTCCGAAACGTGTTAAGACTTGCTTTGTTTGATTGGAAGGCGAGATCTATTCAAGTAGCGAAAAGGGACTGACTTGTTGAGAAATTAGAAACGAAAATCTTATGAGACAATCCTACAAACCTGAAACAATCCTAATCCTTCAGTCAAAAAAATTGTGCCTTCTGCAAAAATTTCTCAGAGCGCCGCTGCTGATCATCTGGTACAACTATCAAAAAATTAACTTCTCATAAATGATTGATAACTTCATCTAGTTTTTATGCCTTGCTGCTCACAAATCCTACGCAAAGCAGTTGCACAGAGTCGAATTTTTAGTGCGGAAAACATCTAGGACTACTATTTTCGAGATCGAGCTTTTGACTAGAATATTTGAAGTATTTGCATTAATCAGACAACAACTTCTACCACTAATGTTTTACTGCTTCTAAAATTTGCTCTTTCAGGTTGGAGTCAATATCTACCAAGAGTATGGGTGCGTTAAACGCAAGAAAAACACCACCTGTGTAATTGGACGTAGCGACAAGGAAAAGAAACAGTGATAGGTGCTAATAAAATTTGGCTTAATTCGATTGGGCGATTCAGCGATATTGTTTACCGTTTACAGGGTTTTATTTTTCAACTTTGCCTCATTTACTATAGGTGCCACTACATTATCTAACGGTCGGAAACTGAAAAGCATGAAGAAACCTTCTTTCTCTTACCATCTGATTACCAATTTTGACGCACCGCCCACATATGCAATTGCCTACCCAGAGGCAAGACAGTCGCGGGCTTATTCCTTCATAAAGTTATTAGCTGACTAAAAACGATGGCTTTAAACAGCCTCAACTTTCTTCGGTACTTTTTGGTTTTGCATTACGGTAGAAACGTGAAACATGGTTAAGTCAATTACTTCAAGCAAAGCGGTTGCGTTCTTCTTCCCTTTCCTCGAAGTATTTGCAAGCTGTGCTTTGGTCCGGATAAAGTAGAATTTTGGCGGATTAAAACTTTCGATTTTCTCGTACTAGCGACTATATGAGTCGCTGTGACTGGGTGACTGGGTCGAGTAGATCCATTATCGGGTGCTTAGCTTGAATGCATGTAACGTAAACTGCGATTTCATCTCTTTTATCAAAGAAAAGTGTGAGGAGGAACTAGTTTATTACACGCGACTACACTCTCAATTTCCTTTCCAAAAAACGGAGTAAAGTATTATAATTTGCTACACCTTGCTTTCACTGGTTCAATCACAAAAGGACAACTACTCCTAAAGATGAGTAAAATTACACTCATAGTGGATACATTTCCTGCAGTATAAATCTCCTCGAATTCGAGATTTCCCCAACTTATATAAACTCATTTGTTGTTGAATGCCATTTTTGTTGAAACCAAAAAATAGTACTTCAACCTTAAAGACACTTTCATGCGGGGGGTATCATTGATTAGTATGTCAAACAACTCCCTAAAAGAAGTTTTCAGCAAATTCTGTGGCAATCTAACAATAAGTCTGAAAATCCTTATACAGTAAAACTAACCGTAACTCCTATACGCACTGCATTTGTAGCTTATGTAGTGTGCAATTTTTGTGAGCAAGTTGCGTAGATTTTTTGAACGAAGATATGAATTTTTCGCCGTTTTCTAAGCCTTCAGTATGACTATATGGCTCATTTTTGAAATCGTGACGATGAGTTGACTGCGGTCTTTCCGCACACGGAAGGATAAAACACCCATACAAACAAGCAACATCTCAACACTAAGCGCAGTCATTTCCAGTGCCTGATTATCATCATATGTAAGCAGAAAAACTATTTGAGTAGCGATAGAAACCAAGAATTGGGAGTGCGTGCGTGTTGCACGCGGTTGCGCCATCGTCACGATTTTTCGAATGCCCTATACCTCGCTACAATGGTATGGACAAAACTCGCGAGCATCGAAGTCTTGGTTTTAGAGGCAAACGGCTGCTTTTTGGGTGGATGTTGAGTGCAGAAACCATCCAAAATCACTGCTCCTTGTTAATTTTCACTGCGTCAAAAAGGAAAGAGTTTCAAGATGTTTCAGTTTAGATCTAGGTGTCACATTCTCTTTTTTTGAGAACTTTAATTTTCCATTTTCACCATTAACTTCATACATATCGGAGAAATCCAATGATACGTGCATACAATAAGGGTAGCCGTTTGAGTGTGGGTTTTACGTTTGACCTTAATATGGCAGTGGATGTCCCATTAGAATCAAGATCCTTCAAGCAATGATCATAATCAAAGTCCTCTGGAAGTCAAATCTAATCTAGCTGCATTGTCAATGGCTTTCTAGTTTCTTGCCTATCCGTAGTTGGTTTTAATTACTTATTTCTCTTCCCAGCCCACATTCTTTCCTGATGAAATGTCCAGACTTTAGGTCAATAGCGGGATTTTGTGATATTTGGATATTATCCATATCCGTACTATCTATAAAGCGCTAGCACCCCCATGTGAGTCAGCATGTATGTCTGTTCCGCGATTGTTTACCACTAATGGCAACGCGCCCGGCAGCCAAGATGAGTCGCGCTGATGACGTCATACAATGCTGCCTCCAGAGTTTTCGACTATACTCTTCAGCGATGTTTACGAGTTGGCACCAAAAGCAGCGAAATCAACACCACTTGAACTGTCACGACTGAACTGATTGAACTCTTCCACCGACTGTAATAGCTTCACTTCGAAAGTCATCAAGGGTTCGTCCGATCGTTTGTACATTATCTCAGCGCCATTACGTTCTTTTTTTTTGGCATCTCGCTTCTCTTTTTCTATTATGGAGCGTTTAAATTAAAGTGCAGCATACTTTTTTCGAAAAAAGTCAGGTATTTTAGTAAAATACTGCAGTCATAGTTCTTTTCTCGAGTGCTTAGTATGTTTCCTCACCGTAAAACAGTTGCACCAAACCTTCAATCATTCTGTTCTCCTAAATTTTCTGCTAACATATCTAAGCAAGAAGAAGTTCTCAATGAAGGCTTAGTGAACGTTGTTATCCCAGATAAACTGCACTAAATCTTTTTTTGAAGGTTTCTCGCAAACTTTATTTTGGACATTCTCTGTCTACGATTTTTTTTTGCATGAGCACTTTTTTGAAATGCCTTCACCACGCAGTTTTTTAGACGGCTTCTTTTCAATCCACATCCAAAGATGTTTGTCAAAGTTGACGAACTTTCAAGCTCTGACTCCATTGAGTTGAAATCTCAATACTGTGTGAACCTTTTAGATAGTTGCCAACAATTGTACGAAGCATCTTTCTTCATCTATCTTTCCAGACAAATACATCAATCATAATCATAATGCGTAATCATGCAAATTATCTTGAAACTCGATAAAAGCTGGATGCAAAAGCCTACTTCAGCTAGAAAACAGTAAACTCTAAAGAAACCACTTACAAATTCCCGAGTTTTGCTTCAAACATCAAAAATTCGTGGAGTAATTAAAAGAACGTCAATGCGATTGTAATTGATTTTATCAGGATTAGTACTGTATGAATCTGTCGTTCGTATCTCAGCTACGAATAAGAGACAAGGTGGCATGCAAGTTGGTTTTACGTAAACTAAAGCTCTACTAAACTACAGCACAGCTTTGCCGAATTATTGCACAACTTCAAAATTGTATAAGGAACGAGATCTGCCTAGGTGAGCAGCTAGAAGTATGAACACCTTTTAGTAGGTCACTTCTAAAATTTGAACTTGCTTATTAAGATAACCTGAAAATTGAGTGGATTTTGGAGCCTACGGATGAATTGCGAGGATGCTGGACAGCTGGAGAACCTCATAAAACGCGAACGAGTTTTGACAGTAAAATTCCTTAAAGTAGAAGAGGAATTGTGGCTCTCTCAAAAAGAATACTTTTGAAGAGATAGAATGCTCAAATTTGAAAAGCTCTAGATTTGGTGGTTCCGATGTCAGCTATATATTTTCAAGAATATCAATTCGAAAGATCCAATTTCGGAAAGAGATAAAAATAGTCTGATTAAAACTTTTGGGTGGAGGTTCTAAGGCAGTTTGCAGGGTCACTCAATGTGGGAAACAGGGCCCCGGGTGGGAAGAGTGCACATGGCTGGGATTGCTTTGTCGGATTTGGGACGCGCTTCAGTCACAAAAATTTTTTGACTTAGGTTTTTTAAGTGTGGAAGTTTGGGAACATCCGAGAATGTAGAATGGAGAACTCAGGCTAAGTCTGTCTCAATCGTGATCAGGCTGAACATTTCCAATAAGGCAGATTTGGGGGCAACTTTTGAAGCGTGAGTTAGAACTGAAGAGTGTGAGAATGCGAGAAGAATCGGTACTTCAGAAAACTTGATTAAGAAGCTACTGGGTGAAAAGGAGTGGAGGAGGGGGGGGGGAATCCTCGAAAGACTAAGATAGCAAAACGCAAGATTATACAATTCAAGTATCTGTAAATTAAGTATCTGGTAATTCGTGTCTTTGCGAGCAAAGGAAGTGGCGGTGCGGTTAGAAAAGAAGCTGGGAGGGGAGTATTCATGATCCTGTTGCTAATTTTGATAAAAAATTTTTTCGGAAGTTTCGAAAGCAGGAGAGATCAGTGATTTTGACAACATCTGGGCCCTTACTGTTCAAATCCGTGCCATAGTTTCGGAGAGGAAAAAAGTTTCAGTCAATTCTCACTTCACACACACAGCCAGTCCAAAGCGCCGCGAAGCGGCGCTTTGGACTGGTCTTATATATAAAGCTGAATGTCTGTTTGTCTATATGTATGTCTGTCTGTCTGTATGTCTGTACGTATGTTCCTTATAGAAAATTCCATTTTTGAACCGATCCGGACCAAACTTGGCACACATACACTTCGGGCCCCGGCGGGTGTCATAGGCTACTTTTCGTCATCGATCGATATCGATTTTATCGATTTTTTGCAAAATTTGAGCTACGGGGCTGGGAGTTGGCATAGGAAGGAAATGGAGCATGCTGATTACGAATATAATAATGACAGGGCCGGGCGGAGCCGGGTAAGTCAACCAGTGTGATATATGTCTAATCACATCCTTTTCCCATACATATTGATATGTATTGTTTTCCATCATGCTAGACACTATACAAATAAGATTTTTTCGCCACATAGGCACAAATACATCACTACGAGAATCTGATGACTCACAATCAGTAACTGCGATATATCATCCTTTGTTCAACTCATCGATTCAAGTAATCAAAAAAAGGAGTTGAAAAACCAAACATTGACAAAGTTGCAGATGCTCAGATCATAACTTTCACAATCAAGCAGCGATCCTAGAAGATTGCAAGATATGTGCTCGTGTACAGGCTAGGGGAACAGACTTACCGCCTGTTAAAAATTAATATGCTTTCGATAATTCAGTTTGCCTTGGAAGATCATCTTCTAGTATACATGATTTCGCAATGTTCGCAAATACATCATTTTATCAACTGGTACAAACTTCGTTGACCATTTCTGGCAATTTTAGGAAAAGTTATTCTACTCCTCAAGTTGACTTCACTATCGTAGAGGCAATCAAGAGTGCATACAGGTACGCCAGTACGATGACTGTACTTGAAGACTGAAAAAGCGAAAATGAATGGGTTTTCATGCGAACGATCTACATAGTTGCAAGGTTTCTCATCATCAAATTTCAACTCCAGCCAATTTCACCTGCACTCTGCTAAACAGCCTTTGAAATGAAGTGGACCCTGACAAGTAAAGTTTACTGTCGAACATAGGTTCTCAAGGGGCACAAATGCAGCTCTTACCCGTACATACGCATGAGACGCAAAGACCACGGATATGCATTCGCTTACACGACTCGACCGCTTGATCGTAAATGCTGAGGCACCTTTGTTTGTAGACTCCTGACTGTAAGTTTCAGAAAACCTCGAAGGAAGCGTAGTTAGATGCTTGACCTTGAAGTGTCGCGAATATTACTCATTGTATAAGGACTGAATTGAATAATGAAGCCTTGAGAAAATCAAAGTCTAAGTCTAAATCTAAAGCTAAATTTACTTCACCGATTTCACGATTCTCGGAAAATCTTGAGCTACGGAGCTGGGAGATAGTATAGGAGTGTGGAGGTGCTGATTATGAATGAATCGGTTTTAGCTAGGTATGTCAACAAGGTTGCCCTAGATATTCGATAAATCATTCGAATAATTATCGAAATTCGACTTTAAATGAATATACTTGATACCCAGTCATTCGAAAATTTTAGAATCTCCAATTCATTCGAATTCGTATTTCGAGATTTTTTATTTTCGAGTTTATTTGATATTCTAGATATTCATATACTAAAATTCGAAATTTCGAATTCTCTCAGGTATAGTATGTACCCTTTGATTCAACTGACTTAACGGCTGAGGAGGGGCTTCGTGGCCTAATTAACGCTAGGTAATGATCAGAGAGCATGCGCAAGGGACAGACTGCGTCGCGAGGGCGAGCGTCCTCAATTAGGGCACAGCGCCCCGCCTTTCAGCCGCCAAACCAGTAAAATCAAAGGTTAGTAATTTTGCTTGGACTGCTAGTGCTTACACTTGGTAATAATGGTGTCATATAAACTATCAGGCTGTCCCATAAGTTCCGTCCGTTTTAGCTTTCAATCGCAATAAGTCATGAACTTCTTGATTCTAGGTAGGCTTCAAGGTACCGTTCGATAGAGCAAAGCAAGCACTACACGACGACGTTCTTACTTTCGCACCAGTTCAAATCCATCTCGAGTTTGAAGCCAAAAACGAAAAAGATCCAGCCGCTCGAGAAATGAAGAAAAAATCGCAACTCCTTCCAAAAAAATCCTAGAAAATTCCTAACTTGTTCACAGATAGGATATCCACATAAGCTATTTATATACACTGTTCCTGTATTTTTTCCTTCGATAGAAATCGAGAAAACGAAAATTTTCGTGCTTTTGTCAAAGTGATGCTGTGCATTTCCCACACTAGTAGTTGTATACTACAGACCAGTGCAAGTACAGACACAAATTTTTAGCGCTCTACAGGCTTTAGTTCTCGAGAAACTTTGAATTAAGCTTCGCACATTCGGGTGTACCATATTAAAACGATTATTTCTCAAGAACTAAAGCCTGTAGAGCGCTGAAAAGTTGTGTCTGCACTTGTACTGGTCTGCAGTATACAACTACTAGTGTGGGAATAGCACAGCATCACTTTGGCAAAAGCATGAAAATTTTCGTTTTCTCGATTTCTATCGAAGGAAAAATCACAGGAACAGTGCATATAAATAGCTGATATGGATATCCTGTCTGTGAACAAGTTAGGAATTTTCTAGGATTTTTTTGGAAGGAATTACGATTTTTTCTTCATTTTCTAGGCGGTTGGATCTTTTTCGTTTTTGGCTTCAAACTCGAGATGGATTTAAACTGGTGCGAAAGTAAGAACGTCATCATGTAGTGCTTGCTTTGCTCTATCGAACGGTACCTTGAAGCCAACCTAGAATCAAGAAGTTCATGACTTATTGCGATTGAAAGCTAAAACGGACGGAACTTATGGGACAGCCTGATAGAATGTCCAAATTAAAATGGGAGTCGATAAGTGGGCAATCAATCAGAGTAAAAGTGATGTGGCCTGGAGACTAGAGCGTTCACTGAGAAAACTTCCTAAAATGCACATGATGTATATACTAGATTGGTGCATAGCCACTCGATTCATGTGGATTTGCGTTTGAAGCATCGTAGGAGAATCCAGAGTTCGATGCGGAAATGTTTGTATCATTAGAAAGCGTTTTCTTGCTTTTTTTTGATACATATTGACATGTGGACCTCCACTCCAACAAAATTACAAGTCTAAGAGCGCAGGTGACCGAAATACGGTCTTTACTGGAAAATATTTTGTTAGAAAATTTCTTCTTCTCAAAGCAAAAGCTAACAAAGCCCGTACAACAGAGCTCTTCGCGCATTAGCAAATATTTTATGTTGAAGGTCACAAACGCGTGTATACAAAGGCAAGCTAAAAAAATCGGCTTCTTTCTTATTTGCTCAAGAAAATCTTTAGGTCGTCGGACGTCAGACTAGACATGGACTCTTTTTGGACGTAGAATTATTTTCAATTTTTTTGCTATCTATCAACGGCTACTAGAAGTGCCTAACAGTACATATGGGTATCAGTACCATGCCCAGGAAAGACAGTATTGAAGAAAACATTGCAATTTTTGAGTTATTGATTGTTCTTCAGTAATGTTTTTCCTGGTGCATATTATTTATCTGATAGCCGAAAGCGTGCCTTATCTAGAGAAATGAAGTTTATTGGAAAAGGTTGATTCAGAAAGAAGTGATATTTTGGACTTGAAAACTGCAAACCGGACACAACTCATGAGTAAGCTGATACACATGATAGAACGTTGACTACAAACTTAATCTATGCTATGACTGTATTTTAATCTTCGAACTTTTCAATTTGGGGTGATAATCACCTGTACCGCATCTAGAGTATATTTCAAAAAGCGGTTCGTTTATACATCCGATTTTCCGAATAGTCTACCTTGTACGACCATGCTAAGAACATGTTGCCGGCACGGAAATATTTACCCTGTAATTTCTTGTAGTCACAGTAAACCTGAAAAACAAATTCGCAATTATTGCATCTAGTTGTTGCCGAACAGAAACTTTTAGGAGCGTTAAGTGGTCTGATACCGGTTTTCACATCAAATTTGTTAGTCATTCCTGTACAGCTATAAATATGTTGGATTTGCCTTTGCGGATACATCAATTAGATCTTAGTTGACAGTTTTCCAGTTCGCATGGTACTAAATCTCAGTTTTGCTTCCTTATCCACAAATGAAGTGCGTCTTTTTAAGAACGCGATCTTTTTTTCAACAGTTGTCGGAGATGCTTTGCATCAGCCTAATTATTTCTTCCTTGATGGCAACGGTTGCTGCCTTCAAATATGGGGATATACCAGTGGAATATAGGGGTGAGCATCTGTTTGAGATTTATCTGCGAGTTTACTGTGATTCCTTTTCAGAACTGATACCTGCGGAAGTGAAGGTGTTTATCATTGGTCTATCGGATGCTGACAAGAAAGTTCTAAAGGAAGTGTTACACAGTACCTCGGATTTCGAAAATGAAGATCAGGTAATCTCACTGCTTTGTCAGGATTAGTTCGCAAAAAGTTAAAACGGTTGAAACAAAGAACGATGGCAAAGTTTATGACCTATATCTCAAATACTACTTCTATCCTTTGCAGTAAATTTTATATCTTCTTTTGTTTCTAACATCAATCTTTACCTTACAAGGGAAGGATGCTTGGACCAAATGTGGCCCTGCTGAATGTCTCCCACATAAAAATGTTCGCCTTATGACGCTGAATATAAAAATCATGTTCGTTATCTGCGGGAAGATTTACTACATAGAAACAGCGCTCGTCAGAACGAAAAAATGGTCGAACTACCCCATTATCTGTGTAACAATCGAACACACTAACCATTAGACATTTACCAACTTGCACCTAGCGTTACTCGTAATCTTCCGCAGACGTCAACCAGAAGCCGCCCAGGAATAGAAGCTGCAGAAAAAAAATTAATAAAATTTCGATTTTTCTGTATATATCCGCAAAAAATCTGAAAATTGCACTGAAAATTGGAGGATTTGTTATTACAGGTTCTGCCCTTTTCACCCAAGCAAACTCTATGATGATTGAGCTTCTCCACGAAAAATTATGATTTTTGAGATGTCCAAAAAATCAACTTTGCCGTCTTCCACCGCTTGCTCGATGATCTTGATTATTTGTAAAGAAGCTCAATCAACACAGATTCTGCTCAGGTATGAAGAGCAGGTCATAGAATCTATAACAAATGCTCCAATTTTTAGTGGAAGTTTTAGATTATTTACGGGTCTAAGAAAAATTGAAATTCTATCAACTTTTTTCTGCAGCTTCTTTCTCTGCAATATTTGTTTAAAGTACTATTTTAGTAAGTATTTTCAAGTACCGCTGGAATGTGAATGTTTTCTTTTTTGAATAAAATTACACAAATGCAAAGCCCTCAAAAAAGTAACAAGTTATGAAATTTTGTGGCAGGCCACTAGTGATTAGTCCAAATATGGTATACAATGTATTCCATTATTATACTAGTGGCATCGAAAGACGGCCGCCCTAACATCCGCGCGCCGACGGTGGAGGAGGTCAGTTCGTCTTTCACGTTTGGGACTTTTTCTTGTGATATTCTGGGGCAAAATCGAGGCTGGCTCGGCTTACTCACCTACTAACACACATTGAAGTCAGTGTTTTATGACTCCAATTTTGTAGCATCTTATTTCAAACTGCCACTTCAACCTACCATCATTTCCTTGTAAGTTTTCTTTCCCCGTTAGATTTGGCTCAACCTTTTCTATGACCTTCCCAGAACGACAACATTTCAATTCTCTCTCAAACTGCACACGTATAAAGATTGAGACGGCCAAATGTTAGTAATCCATGACATATCATTAGTCGGTATCACTGCTTTATTCACTTTTGCATTTTACTTTCTAAAACGCTAGAAATTGGCAGAGAAAGATAGATGAAGTATGCTGCTAATAAACCACGTACTACTTCCCTTCAACTTTCTCCATTAATTTATTCCCTTTCTTGCATCTCTACTCAATGAAGTCCAGTAGTGCACGCGGCAAGACTGATCATTCATTACATTCACCAAATATTCTAAAAAAGATAATCGATTGCATTGCCTCTTTCACAATCGTGTGAATTTCTCAATAGCGGCATGGTCGCGTAGTCAGTCCGCAGCCCTCTCAATATTCACGAATGCAGGAAGCCTTGGAAAACTATCTTTTCACTAATTCTCCGAAGCTCCTAATGTAAAATCCGGATTAATAAGCAGCGAAGTTAGATGCTTTTTACCGTTAGAGCATTTGTTGCAGAAGCTTAAGATAGCAAGAAACTTATTCTTGCAGTAGATTGGCCAACTAAATACAAAACATTTACCTTAGGACGCATTCGAAACATAGCGAATCATTGCAGCCGACATCTCTATCTATCTGAAGAAAGGTATCTAAAAAGTCACAAGATATTGATGTAGGAAATAATGCGAACGTGGAATCAAGGCAAACTTGTTGTATACTTTATTCAACGAAGCTTTTCGGCCGTTCTGTGTAGAACCAGCTGGCACTACGGAATTGGCGTCAACAAAATGTGCAGAAATTTCCTTCACTCCTTCTTTTTTACCTTCTTCCCGTTATACAGCTTTAGAGAAAAATTGTTTGCCGATCGCACTGTTCATACTGATTGGATAATCCTGTTATTTTCGAGCTTGTGGATGCCATAAGAGAAAAATCTCCCGACTTGGCAGAAAGGGCTAACAAGCTTAGTGATATGTACAAAACAAAACTTGCTGCACTCGGACCAGAGGCTCAGACATTTGCTAAAGAGGTGCGTAAATCACAGAACTTTTATTTATGAACTGTAATTTTCATGAATTTTCTAGATGATGAAAAACTGTCTGAAAGTTAGACTGCAGTACTTTGGTGGAAAGAATCCCAGTCGCGCTGATTTGAAGAAAATAGCCTTGGATCTTATAGAAAAGTACAAAGCTCTTTCCAACGATGCTAAGGAAGATTTAAAGAAGGAGTTTCCCATCAGCGCAATTTTATCAAGTAAGTTCTGTTGAACTGCGGGTATTGAAATTACGACAGAATTCTAGATGAGGCAATGTTGGAACGCCTGAAAAATATGAACTAGACCACCGAAACACTTGAAGAAGAAGCCTGCACCAGCAATTTTAAAAATTTGCACTTCTCTATCTACAAGAGGAAAACGTACCTGTGACAGTCTGAACAAAGCGTGCTTGATAATGTTTTTACTACTAGTGTAATAAAGATTAGTATCACTGGAACTTATCAGTCAACGGCTGGTAACTGTCAGAGTAATACGCTCGTTCAGAATTGTTGTGCTCAAAAAATTGATATAACGGGTGTCCTAAAAGTATGTATACGCTGTTTGATCGTTGATAACTCTTTTTCCAAGAATTTCTTTGCCTATCTCTAGGTACTATCTTATATAGTTAGCTTCAAATTATATTTACAGTATGGAAAGGATCATCAATCATTTTCATCACTGTAGCATTACGGTATAAAGGTTTGGTTTTCAGCATCACCGTGGATTAGTCGTAATTCAAAAAATCTCTCAGAAGTCCTGAAATATGGTATATAAGGAATTTTACGCACCCTGGCGTTATTGCTCAACTTTGCTGGAATTTGTATAGCTTTCAGAATGGTGTAATCACAATTTAGATTGCTTGGTAAAGATAACCATTGCGGTTTACCTGACATAAGTTATGAAGGAAGCATTGCGGTGAAACACAAACTTCGTATTTGGTTTTAGGACTTCAATTGGTTTAGTGTAAGAGTTTCCAGGAGAAGCCATCAATGGCTCAAAATCCCTCTTGAAGTTCCTGCCATAATCCTACAATAATAAAGAATGATCGGTGATTCGCTCCATACAGCAAATCTAAGCTGGAGCCAGCTCTACAAAATTTTAGGGAAAAGAGTTTTAGGGAAGAGATTTATTTGCATCAGACAACGTACTTTTGGAACACCCTGTATTTCCATAACGCTTGCCGAGATTCATAGTCATAATTTGGTCGTTCATCAGGCATGTGCAGTGGCAGACTTGAAGAAAAAAGGGCGAAAGATTTCAGATAAAAGGTATTGTGAAAGGACTTGCAGGACGTTCATACACTGCAAAGGAGGAAAGAGAGGATGTATACTTTTGAAAGCTCGACAAATAATTCGACTGTGAAACTAGATAAGCTCTCTTTCCTCGAAGGGATTCGAATTTGACAAATTATGTCCCAGATTTCGTAAATAGAATGACGCTTATAGACATACATTGAAAGTCGAGATCAATGCTTTGTGAGATTGTGCTTTGCTCATCATTTAGAACTTGTATTTTTTAAGCTTTCAACAAAATCTCGAACTAATGAGTTTCGGTTACCTAGCTCACTTTAATAAAAGAATTCGCAGTTGTAAAGTCAGAGATTACGAAACTATCTCAACAATATCAAAATTCCTTGCATTGCAGGCGGATGTTGAGGCCTTTTCAGTTTTGTTCGAAACACTTGGTTGTAGCATTTTTGTTTCTCTGTTGCTTACTCTCAATAGTAGTTCCAACATTTATTTCATTTATTTATTACATACGCTCTAGGCGTTCCTTAAAAAGACAAAAATACACAGTTACTCATACTCTAATACCACGATAATCCATCATGCAGTTTGGGTCTAAGCATTCGGACTAGATTATTGGAAGTGTGATGAAAGCCTGTTTGTGACTGCTCTAAGACTGTAGTCAACAGAACTGAATTAGTGTGTTTCATGGAGATGGTACCCATGCCCCCTTTTTTGCCAGCAAAACAATTTTGATTCAAACAAGCAAACGGTTTGATGGTTGATAAACTATCTAATCTCACCAAACCAGTATGCCGAGGAGAGTGCAGTGACTCAAATGGATAGCAGTAAGAATTGTAGAGAATGAATAACTCATATGTGAGTGATCATATTAAGCTAGTGTAATCTATGGAGTGGTGATCATACCAACTCGTTTGCCAGCAGAAAATGCTCTTGATATAAGCAAAGCGGGGCTCGGTTGATGGAATAGTACTAAAGAACCTTGCCCAAATGATTCCGGGGAGAGCCCAATGACTCCGGGAGAATATTTATCAAGTAAGTAAAGTGAACAAGTAAACAATAAGTAAGTAAGTAAACATAGTCCTGAACCCATCATGTTCGCTTGTCAAATGCTTATGTTTTTTTTTGAGAGAGTAAACAGTTGGAAAAACAACCAGCTCTGCAAAATTGATCTTACTTAATTTTGGATTGTAGAGCCTTTACCGCGAAATCAGTTTTCTTGATCCCCCTCCTTTTCCCGGATCAAAAGTCTTTGTTATCTATCACACCACACTTTACAAAAATTGAGTCGTTTTAAAAGCATTGTGACATTTTTTTGACTAAGTGTCACATGCGCCAAAACCAGAATCAGAAACGATCCCGGTCATATTTGATGCAGCTTCCTCTCCTCTTTCTAATGCTATATTTCCAAAACACTTCTCAAACACTTTCCAGCGTAGTTCTATGTTTCCAAATTGCTGTCGTTATGCTTAAATTCAACCATTTTGAAAAAATTATTACAGTCTTCCGGCAAAATTAGATCAAAGCCCAAATAGAGCAAACATAGTATAGTAAATTTCCTGTAGAGGACTATACCATTTGATTCAACTGGCTTGGCTTCGGGAAGGCGGGGCTATGTGACCTAATCAAGGCTAGGTAATGGTCAAGAGCACTCTCGCGTGAAAGACTGAGGGTGCCTTCATACCGCGCCGGCAGCCGCCGCTAGCGGCCCGTAGCAGCCACCAGCAGCCTGCAGCAGCCCGTAGCAGCCGCCAGCAGCCCGCAGCAGCCCGTAGCAGCCCGTAGCCGCCGCTGGCCGCTTTTGTTATAGAAGCGCAGAATCATTAGAAAACTACTTTAAGTGCTCATGCCTATTCTTCTGTTGTTGCCAGTGGGTAGTTCGATCTCACGAATCATATTTGTGTCCATTTCATTACAATGTCGCCCATGGCCATCCTGTTTTGGACCATAGTTCGCAAAAGTTTCTTTCCGGTGTGATTCCTTGCAGGTGTGCAATTTGCTTACTTTTTGAGTATGCTTTTGCCTCAATGTTCTTCTTGGCTATCGGTGCATATCTGCATTGCATTCTACTATTTCGCAATTTCGCCGAATTGATTCGCGGGTGGGTTCTCTCAATTTTGACAATGACTCACATCCGTTTTAGACAAGACAGTTTGCAAAAGTGAAATTTGGGCACCGATAGGATGCGCTGTGCGGCAGCAGAACAATGAACACAAATGTAATATGGAAAATCGAACTACACACTGGCGGTAACAGAAGAAAAAGCGTGGAAGATGAAAAGCATAGGCAGGAGCACTCAAAGTTGTAAGATTCTGATGATTCTGATGATTTTGCGCCTCTTTAACAAAAGCGGCCAGCGGCTGCTGGCGGCTGCTACGGGCTGCTACGGGCTGCTGGCGGCTGCTACGGGCTGCTATGGGCTGCTACGGGCTGCTGGCGGCTGCTACGGGCTGCTAGCGGCGGCTGCCGGCGCGGTATGAAGGCACCCTGAGGTGCGCCGCGGGCGCGAGCGGCCTTAATTAGGTCACAAAGTCCCGCCTTCCCGAAGCCAAACCAGCTGAACAGAGATTACATTGCCGAAAGGTGTAGTCAAACGCGGATATCTCCAAAAACCACGCAACACACTTTATAGACATTACAGCTTTTATTAGCTGTCCGCGCGACGTGGAGCCTATTGGCGGTATATACGCCCCTTGCCTGTATATATCCTTTTTTTCTGGCTTGATGGCTGCACTTTTCAATTCTTCAAAATGTTTTTTTCAGCACTAATTCAGCCCACGGTTGCACCGATACTAAAAAAACATTTTCAAAGCGAGTTAACTTTGACAGCCTTGCATCGTTAGAGCTTAGCAATAATCAAACATCAAATGCATCGAATTAAGAAAATGCAAAAATGTGTGTGCAATTCACTAGGTCATCCCACAAGTTCGTAGCGTTTTTATTTTTGTTGTCGTTTTCTAAAGAAGCGGTGTTTTACTGCAAAATTCATGTACCATTCAAGCCAATTCTGCTCTACAAGACCTTCTTTTCGTTTTGGAAACAAACCTACTACTGACCTTTGTTTTATAACTTCTCAAAGCAAAGTTTTTTGAGATGCAAAATTGCTATTCGACACTTCCATCTTCGGCATTACGTACGAATTCACCAATGAGTATTTTCCATCCACAGTCGTTGTGGATGATGGGAGACAATTATGTACGAGACTATGGCATATGAAAGTGGACATTTTGTCAAGAAAAACGCTACAAATGAGGATAGTGCGCACTTTCACCATACGTGTAGACCAGTGCGTCACCTCTAATTCGCAGAGGTTCGCACTGGCTCTACTATCTGTCTGCCTTCATCGTAATTGCACAATAATGACTTTGAAACTCACCGCGCGTTGCCGATCATCGCGATTGAATTGTAAATAAACGTTCAATTTTGAAGCTTTTCATGTATGATCGTTAATTTAGGAAGGAAAAGTTTTCCCGCATAAGAATAAATGCGATTTTGAATGGGTTGCTGGAATTATTCTGACTTTGTAGTCGCCATAAAGTTAACAATCATCGTGGGTTACATCTCTATTCAAAAATCCTTTCAATTTTTTTAAAGTAAAACTTGGCGAATTGACAATTTGCGCAGTTACACCCTTTTGGCGACGATTTTGTGTAATAGGCTTTTTGCTTACTTTCTGAGCTGAAGTCAATGTATTTCGGATTTACTTGTTGAACAAACCCACGACTTTGCGAAAAGTTCCATTACCGACCCATTTTGGCGGGCCAGAAGTCGCGTGGATCTGTTTGGAGCAAGATTTGAGGTTCCACTTAGTGGATCGACTTGCGCATTTGCACTGTTCATCTACACTCTGATAGCGTGCTATGACAAAAGTTTTAGTTCAAGACATTGGCTGCATCTCGCTATATGAATTTCGTGATAGACAGACATACAGACAGACAGACAGACAAACAGACAGACGCTTAGCGCCCTCTTATAAGTCATGATGTTTTGGTCTGGCGAGAATGATACGTTTCTCTACGTCAAAATTTATAGGAAAAGCTTGAAGTGGCTGGAAAGCTTGCATCTAAACATTTGCGCCACTTAGACAAAACCCTTCATTGGCCAAGCCCCAAAAACAAGACTGGAACAATCTGTTGCGAATGAACGCATAAAAGTCAAATGTCAACTGTCGGAAACAGCAACTACTGAGACCTTGTCTGAACATTTCTTAACATATTGACGCAGTACCACAGTGTCAGCATCTCAGCCTCGCTGCTAGCTACTCCGACTATCATCGCAAAGGAAATTTTATGGCGCACGGACCAAATGCAGGACCACAGATGTCGAAATGGCAAGTTTTGCCACTCTCAAAACTTCGCTATAAGAAGTTATGAAACATAGGTCATCAGGATTGCTTCGGAAGTAAGGAGCGGATCTTGCAGAGCAGGGTCGGCTGTTTCGCATAATACAGGTACAGGTACTTTGTCGTAAACCAGCCGCTCCACCAGACAGCGACGACGAAAATAAAAACGCTACGAACTTGAACGACCTAATACTATTCACCAGCTCACTACTCACCAGCCGGCTTCGATCGCACAGTGGGTGACCGGCTAAGAAAGAGCAAAATTGGTGCGCGACTTCAAAACAACTTTTGTGCAATTCGGCTTTTTTCTGTCAATCTTATATGGCACAGGAAGATATCTCGAAGAGCATCGCTTTGCATTACCGCTTCGCAGGCATGGTGAAATGAAAATGAGTTTTTCCGCTATTGTTTACGCTAAAATTGGAAATGTTTGATAGTAACTGATAAGAGTTCATTTCTCTTCAAAATCAACAATTCAATAGAAAAAGCGGAAATTCCGCTGCGAAAAGTAGCCTACAGGGTGGACCGGTGTAGAAAACACATACGTCCTTCCACAGTGCTGGTACCCTTAGTCTGCTGCGTCTCTGACTTGCGGTCACGTGGTCAATATTTTGCCGACATGCGGCAACACGATGCTGAATCTGATGGCCAGATTTTGGAAGACGGTCGAATGGCGCGCATTGATCGGTTGTTAGTGACTAAAAAAGCCATGAAAGAGTTCAAATCTACCTTGCTCAATCCGGATCTCAACTCCATAATCCTTCTCTATACTTTCTTATACATTGGCAAAATTCTCGGACTCTGAAAATCTTGCTCAGATGAGCACGATTCCATTCTGGCAATGGCGGTCGCCGAAACGCGCGCCTTTCGACATACACCCCCAGATTTTTCTGCCACATGTTGTTGTAGTGTGAACATGTTTTGCGCGTTGTCAACACGCCAGCCATACGTGTGCAGTTGTCGAAGACAGACTAAGGGTAGCAGCGACTGTGAAAGGAATGTATGTGCAAAGTTTGGCGTTGATCGGTCCAAACACAAAAGTTTCTATAATGGAAACAATAACTAATAATCTAGCAACCCTCAGCTTCGAATACAGGGTGTCCCAAATAAATGTAAACACTGTTTGATTGTTAATAACTCCCTTGCTTTTATGTCTTCGGCGAGCAACATTCTGTATAGCGAGATTCAACTTAGACCTACAGTATGGAGAAAATTATCGATCAATGCTCGTCACTGCAGAATCACGGTAACAATTTCCATCATGTGGACCCATTGTGAAATATGGCATCTGACAAAATTATTTTTAAAAAATGTGAAAAATCGTGTACTGGGGTTTTCGCGCCATTCCACTATACAACTTTTTACAAGCGTTTTCAGCTTTTTTGACGATATAATCACATTTCGACAAATGCTGAGAATTCACTTTTACGGTTTACCTGCGATAACCTTGAAAAGAAGCATCACATTCAAGTGGATTTTCATATTCGAAATTAGCGGCTTTCATTACGATAGTACAAGAGTATTTGTCATGTTTGCTTTCCGAGGCAGAATATGGCCCCTAGCGGGAAATCCCTACTGTAATCCTACAATAACAAAGAGCGATCGATAATTCGCGTCATATTGTGTATCTAAGTTGAACTCGCTCTACAGAATGGTATCTCAGGCTCGGCGAAAGACATGAAAGCAAAGGAGTTATCTACGATCAAACCGTGTTCACACTTTTTGGGACACCTTGTATGTACAGATGTGTGACAAAATATCAGAACCTCGGAAAAATAATTGTGAAAGGAGCAGATTTCGACGATTTTCACTCATTGAACTCCTTTATGTAGATAATTATTTTGGAAAATATCGAATGAGTAGAACAAACTCACACCAAACTTCGTTTAATGCATACATAATACATTGACGGGAACTTCGCTTCTGTCAAATATGAAATCTGGATTTTGAATCATTCCAACTTAGTCTTAACTAGCGACCCTACGGGTCGCTAGCAAGTGGGTTGGGGCGTGACATATGATTTACTGAACCAACACTACCATTTACGTCTATCAACAAGAACTACGAGCAAATATTTCGTATCTTCATCGTTTCTCCAAGTTTACTTGCAGTCAGGGTTGAAACAACGAGAAAAGCTACAAGAAACATCGCTTAACAATAACCGAGTAGCAGATTAAAATTACAAGCGCTTGAATTTAAGAAATAACATGCAACGACAAAAAAAAACAAAGAATGACGCATAAGCATGATTTGTGGGCTTGATGTGCCGCTCTCTACCGCAGCCGGAATGCTCTAATATGAATTTAACTAGCGACCCTACGGGTCGCTACAAGTGGGTCGGGACAGATACAATATAAGGGCTTAGTTGTGACTATAAATACTTCTTAAGTTTCCTACTCCTTTCCTGAGAACTTTTTTGCGAAAAGCATTCTACAAAAGGAGAACTGCTCGAAGAAGCGATAATCTCCACAAATCATTCAGCATTTTTCGAGATTCCTGCTAGAACAAGGAAAATATTATTTTCCTCTCGTTTACCACGCTCTTTTTGCAAATTTCCCCTCCTCTCAGAGACATTCAGATAACCTCCCCCCCCCCCCCCACTTTTCTACCCTCTCAAAGAGAATTTGCTCTTCAAGTTTTTCTCAACAAGTTCCATATAAGATCGTTGAGCAAGTAGCGGAACACCTATAGTTTTGGAAGTAGAAATACACTCATAACAATTATGTGTACTACAAAAAACACTTTTCTCTCAGAATCAATTCCGATAGCTACGAAATCAATCGTGCAAGGACTTTTTCGGGGAATCCCTCAATTTTTTTTTGCCAAAGGAATATGAAGTTTCACTACAAAAGGAGATCACTCCCCGAAAAGCACACTACTGAGCCACCTAAAGACCGTCAATCAACATACAAAAAATTTGTTTCCCTGTCCGATCAAATTGCCCTACGTGCCGCTTACAAACCAATATTATCTATCTGAAAGACAGTATATGCCCTACGTGCCGCTTACAGGCCGATATTAACTATTTAAAAGGCAAATTATGCCCTATGTGCCGCTTGAAGACCGTATATATAAGAAAAACCAACTATGACTCAAACAAAAACAAACGACGAATTCAAGTATTTACAGCGTATTCTCAAATTGCCGTACATGTCACTTTAAAATTTCCAATTCTGAGAACTGCCCCAACGCACAAAAATCTGTTTCCCTGACCGATCGAGTTGCCCTACGTGCCGCTTACAGACCGATAGTAACTATTCAAAAAAGAAGATTATGCCCTATGTGCCGCTTACAGACCGTTTAAAAATTATAAGAACTGCCCCAAACGCACAAAAATCTGTTTCCCTGCCCGATCGAATTGCCCTACGTTCCGCTTACACACCGATGCCTAATTGAAAGCACCAGCGGGACCCAGCTACACAAGCAAAGCAAGGTTGTTGTTAGATAAACGCTTTCAAAAGTACCAGCAAGGCCAAGTTACTAACGCACTCTCCTGTCTACACGCGGAAGTAAAATAATCCTAAAGTGACTGTTCTTAGTTAGAGCATTTTTATCAAGAGTTGAGAACATTGATGAATGTAGCTCAAGTCACGCTTTTAGGCAATTTGGCATCATTTCAAAAACAACTAATAGGAGTAAAACATATTTGAAAGACACATTCTGGGATAACAAGCTCAAAAAAAAAACAGGCACAAATAACACACCCGGACACTGGCGACATATTCTCAAAATCATTGCGACACTCATGATCGCCTTACAAAATACGCGTGACCCTTTTACGAAAATATGCTTGGTCACTCGTTGTGGAATATGGCAGCGTTCCAAAACGCATGCCACGTGGCAGCAATCCAAAGTCAAAGATCAGTGTATTTCGTCATAATTTCTCCGTCTGCTGCCTCCTCGTTTGCCATGTTCCACGGATAATAATGGGTAAACATCGATTCCAAATTATATTACATAGTGATATCAGCTTCCACCGACATGTTTTGAGATAGGCTCAGTGAGAAGGATCGTCTGCAAACTCATACAGCACATTGAAGCAGTTATGTACTTTGTGGAAAGCAACTTTTACACGCATCGTCCAGGATCTTGTTGAGAGTTAGATATCCATTGTTGGCAATTCGCGAAACTTTCTATTTTTCCAGTAACCTGCATCTCAACGACTAATGCAAAGGCACAATTTCTGAACATTACTTGTTCACCTTTCTTATCTTCCTCCTATTTTCTCAAGCGAATTATGTGTTCTTCAAACTTTGCTGTAACACAATCAATCATGTGCTCAAATGATTCACTTTCCTGACTCGCACAGCATTTTATTGTTAGTGAGTTTTAGATTCCATTTGCAGAAGGAAGAAACATGCCGGTGCAGTTACAGTTTTCTTGCAACCGAAAAATTCTTTTTGTTTAAATGTAAAATCTTAAAGCTTCGAAGTTTTTCATTTTTAGTAAAGGTTTCGCGATTCGCAGATTGCATCAAATGTTTATGCAAACTGTCACTACCATGTTTCTACTGGTAGCTTACGTTTCAGCTCTCGATGTGTCGGATATTCCTCCTCAATATCGAGGTAGGTCTATCGAGGTACTTCTTTGTCTTGCTTTCATCTCCTAAGTCCCGGTTTAGCACTTCTTCCCAGTGACCTGAAGAACTTTCTGGAAAACCTTTCTCCTGAAGAACAAGCTGCACTAATTAACTCATTTAAAGAAAGCAATTTACCTATTGAAGAGCGTTTGGTGGGTATCACTTCTATTCACTTTTATCCACAAAGCAAAAATTAAGTTTGTTGCCGCCATCAAAAAGGAATCTCCCAGACTGGGCGAAATGATCGAGAATGTGCTGGTTAACTGGAGATCAAGGATAGCGGCTCTTCAACCTGAGGCCCAAGAATTTGCAAATTTGGTACGAAACTTTTTCTAAGATGATTGGGTAAAAAGCCTGCAGGTGCTTGCAGATTTGGGACAACGGTGTTAAGATGGTAACTCAAGTAGTTGCTGGCAGCAAGCCCAGTAATGCTCAACTACAAATGGTTCTTTCCTCGATACTCAGCAGATACAATAGTCTCTCTTCCTTTGCCAAAGCAGACTTTCAACATCAGTTTCCTATCCTCAGCAGTGCCCTAACAGGTTCGTTGCCATCGCTCACTTACTCCCCTTCCCCCTGGACCAACTCTCTCCCAGCTCCGTAGCCCAAACTATGCAAACAATTGATAAAGTTGATAAAATCGATATCAATCGATAACGAAAAATAGCACCCCCGCCCCGAAGTGTATGTATGCTACATTTGGTCCAGATCGATTCAGAATTAAATTTCTATTCGGAACATACGGACAGACGGTCACACAGACGCAGAAACAGACATTCAGCTTATATAGAAGCATTGTAGACAGATGGACAGCCTTGAATAAATGGAGCGGATATTCATAAATCCTTCGCACTTGACGAAAAGTAGAATAATTGAGAAATTGTAAGACCAAACGAAGAGCTGCACGATGGTGATGGCTTTCAATCTTGAAAGCTAATTTGAAGGAGAAAAAGCTTGAAAGCTAGGCAAATTTCCAAACGATTGCACATGCAGTTGTCCGGGCAAGTCGGCCGAAAAATTTTGCTATGATTTGAGCTTCTTCTTCTCGTTGATTCCGAAAATGCAGCTGAAGAGGGTAAGAAAACACGAAAACGGTTTTTACAGAAGGTCTTAACTTTGACATTGCACGTATGAACGCTGAGCTCGTTGAAGACTAAAGTGGGAAGGCGTGCTTGATTGACTGTTGCTAACTAAAAGAAGAATAAAGAAGGTTCGATAACTTCGTTCCCATTATTCAACTACGAGATTCTCTATGACTTACGAAGATTTTCGCAAGATTACTTTTAGAAAAGTCTTCTTAGTCAAAGTGGCCTTTCCACATGACCCCTAAATTACTTTGGAGAGCATTGAACAGCAATTCCAAATCTGTCTTCGTTATCTGCTCTCTAAACAACCAGTTATAAGTGTTTTGTGTTGAAAATCAAATGCGCAACAGGAACAAAACCGTTCAAAATTGCTCGAATTGTTCAGTGTCTATTATCAGCACTCTATTCAACTGATACTTTTGTCTAGTCACTTCAACTCACTACTGCTCTAGCGCTTTGATTCTGAACAATTGATTTGACCTAGATTCTGTGTTCATTTTTCGCTCTAGAAAACAAACGCAACTAAGCGTCCAAAGATGGCTAGCGGAGTAGAGTTTGCTTCACCGATAGGGCCGAAGCATTTGACTTGAAACGGCGGGCCTCGTTTGCTTGAGGTTTGTGCCAATTGGGAAGAACACAGCGCCAGACGGAATAAAGAAATGCAATCATATGTCTTATTACGATATTAAATAGCTGCTTATTTGACACGTTTCGCTTTGTAAGAGCGTGAGCTCATAATTTCAGCCCATTCTAAATTCAAACAGACTAACGTATCGGAGTATTTTCAATCCAGCAGATGGGAACTTCTACCTACCGACTATCAACAGGCATTGTCGCCATCTTCATATCCTGACTTCGCATCTATCAATTAAGTACTGCGATGTCAAACAAAAGCTATCATTATCAGTAGCTGCACTATAAACTTTGCTCTCCTTTTGAAGGCATCGTTTAGACCAAAGTGAGGAAGATAATCTTTTCAAAGTAGCAGGCTCCCCAAATAGGCCACGACACAAGCGCGATGTCACGATTTGGCATAGGGTCACGATTTGGCTTTCGGCCTGCATGAGGTTCCGCCTGCCATAGAGCCATAAATGCATACCGATTGTGGAAACCAGCAATCACTTCTATATTCTTCAGACTATACTATTCAAACCATACTCGCTCATTCCGTTCAACGTCGGGGCTTATATGCGAGAACTTCCTGTTTCAAGCAATCTGAATTTGGCGTACTTGCCTAGCACGAGAGTAAAGCTCAAAAAAGACCAAAATAAAAAAGTCGCCAAATTGTCCGGACGCTGTCTTCAGTACTCTGCCCTCTACAAAAAAAAAATTAACACACTGACGAGAACGTGACCTACATAGTGTCCATGGCTCAGATTTTATTCAAATCAGATTTTGAGATATTTTGAGAATGAATTTGAGAAGTTCTATTACGCTTTGGACCTAGAGTTCACTAACGCGATTCTAAGCTGTTTCTTACAATTAGATTAGAGGCAGTCTGGGCAAAATTTTGCTTCTTATGTTTCTGCTATTCTGGGGCCTTTCCGTGGCCCTGATTACAGTTGTGAAGTCCAAATTGTTCAAAACCTCCTAAAAAACCCGATTCTTGGGAACCTTCTCTTCAAGGAGCGGACGAGTTTCGGATTTCTCGTCCCTATCGCATGCCAGCTTGAGGAGCTGCACTGCACGAATGCAGTTGAATTGCAGAGTGCAGTGCAACTGCAATGCAACTGCATACCTGCGTGAGCACTCTTCCTCAGGAGTGGTTTATGATACGAAGGGGCGGTTTGTGATACGTATCACAGGCCCGTCTCCTTTTAGAGGCCACGCCAAAAGATCGGACCAACGCAGATCGGATACTCATGGGCCCCTTTTTACAACTATGTGCTAATCTGCGTGGATGGATCTTGCCTGGACGCTGCCTTAAATGAAGGCATGCTGTATGCAATAATTTGCACGATTTTAGCTTCTGGCTGGAAATTGATAACTTATTGAAGGGCCACTTGTACCACTGAGAAGAGTGGCACACGATCGCGGTATACATATGTCCTGGAGTGATGTCTATACGAACCCTCAATATCACGTACTCACCGTAAGCATGGCAAAGAGCCGCTACCAAGCAGAATGAGTTCCATCAAAGTACCATTGTGCAGATAAACTCATCCACCAAATTCGAGCTAATTCTAATGTTTACAGATTAGGCTCACTGAGTAGAACAATGAATTACAAATATTTGTAACTTTGTTTTGAAGGGGAGTTGACCAAACCTTTTGCACTCAAAACAAAGCACTACAACTTCCTGGTCCACATTTAGAGAATAATGCTACAAATTACCGCCAAACAATGTTATTAAAGGCCCAATCACAACTTCTGTTACTGCATTTTTCTGTGATGGTTTTCTTCAGCATTTGCCACTCAAAGGAACGACAACGAGTCATGTCAAATCACTCTTTTGAGAACCGCAGACAAGCTTTCAAAGTTTGATGAATCATGCAGTGAAAGTTTCGTGACTGGCTGACATATACTTCCGAAAAAAGTGGGAGTGTGTCGGCACTTAGTCGGCAACACGGGCGACAATTAGATGCAAAGGAGTAGAGCTTTGAATTGTGCATTTGCGAAGTGCGGTGCTATGAAGGTTCCATCACAATGTTGAAATTGAATCGGACGGATGCCTATGGACACAAGAGGTCTCGGGTCGGTGGAGATTTAAGCGCATTTTTCAGGACCTAGCTCATGAATTGGCAGGTGCGGTTGGGGCTACAGTGCACTTGCGTGGTCTACCCAGGGTTCCGCACGAGCTGACACCAGAGAAGTCCCAAAACGAAGTCCCCCTTGATTTTCGCTAGGTTTTACGAAGTCCCTCTTGACCCTAAACCCTAAACGTAAAACCCCAAAAAACAAACGTCGACTACAAAAGGTCGCAATTTGTCGACAAAAACGATATCCCCTTTGCTTTTTGTCCCAAAAAACGATATCCAGCTTGCTCCGTGCCAGCTGGTGCCAGGCCTTAGGTCTAGCACCTAACACCGCTCAAAATTCGAGAGGGGTCCATTTGCCGACCCCTGCCATTAAAATGGGTATCTATCCTATTTCAACTCTATTTATATGCTGACTGTGTGAAGGATGACGAGATGGTCAAAACTTAATCAGCCCTTCTGATTACGTCGTTTAAAGTTTATAAGCGTTTTTCAGCGTAAACAGGGTAAAATCAGCGTTTTTCTTGAAGTGGAAGTAATGGCATTCTATAGAACGAGGTCAATCCTATTTGGTAAGAAAGAGAATCAAACTTCGGAAAAAATGTGACAGGAACGTTACAAACAACTTACTGATCGTAGCGTGTCAAGAAAAGAATATTGCTTGTTTATTACACCCTCCCCTACCCTCAGAGCCGCTACAATTCAACAACGCCTCCTATACCTAACTTTTGACCCGCTTTCTACAAGTTGCGCTTGATAGAACCAGGAGCAGTGTACTCCCGCCCCCAGTATAAAGATAATGTGTATTTGTAGAAATCCAGTCATCATGACGTATAATAAAGCGCGTGTCTGGCTGTGTGTGTTTATGTCTGTCTGTCAAGAAATTCATAGAGCGTTTTGTAGGCAAGGTCTTGAGCTGAAATTTTGGTCATGGCACCTTACTAGCATGTAGGTAAAAAGTGCAAAAGCACTAGCTGATCCGATATTTGGGACCTTCAAAAACTGCGCGTCAAACGGGCCCACGCGGCATTTGGCACGCAAAACTAGGTCATTAATTCGACTTTTTGCGAAGTCATGATTTGCCTGACAAGTAATCTGCGCCTCATGAATTCTAGCCCAAAAAGTGCTCAAAAGTTTGCTTTTCTGCGACAAGAGCGCCAATAAGTGGTGATCTGATCGCTTAGACAGTCGATTTGGCAAGGTTTTACCTTCAGACTACTAAAGATTTTTGCATGGAAATTTAGCTCAAAGTGACTATTATCCTTATGACGACTACCAAGCCAAAACAAATTCAGTAATCTAATCAAATTCATAGGTGTTCCTTTGCGACAAGTTTTTTTCTCTCAAAATTACCGATCTTACGTGGAGATGCTTCAGTAATGAACAGTTGTTTACTATTCATTTGTGATGTTCTGCATCACATGGTGGGTTTCAAAACCATCATTATGCGAACATGAGAAAGGCAAACGGATAGGAGAGCCAGTGCGAACTTCCGCGAAGCGGAGGTGTCGCACTGGTTACATAATAATTCTCCATTTAGGTCTAACACTCCTTCCAACCTTCAATCCAAATCCAAACTTGAGGAGTTTCCCAATCCCTACTGGATTCTTAGGATGTAGGCGATTCATGCTTTCAAAACATGCAGATTTAAGTGATACATATTTAGTGATTAGACCACGCCGATCGCAGCTGGAAGCATCGACCTTGTGACACAAAGTCTACGGCAAGAGACTCTTTTCATACTCTTAACTGAAGCGTTGTAATTGGCTAATCGGCCAATCATCACCTTCTCCGAAGCGATCTCGCACAGTGTGAGAATCCAAAATGCCCCAAATAAACAAACGTCTTGTTTACAAGAAAGCAAATGATATGACACCAAATTTGGTGAGTATACGCGCAATAGCGAGTAAACAGTACACGAAAAGTTGTGAGCAGTTTGATTTGAGTGGCAATTAGTCTGGTACGTGCCGGAGCAGGTCCTGGCATGGGAGAACTGAAGTCATGATTTTCCATCAAGTGCCGCATACAATTGTCATTTCATTTCCAGCTACAATTTAGCTTATAAAGTTTAGAATTCAGAGAAATCGATGAGCGTAAAACCATAAAAATACTTCTTCATTGGGAGGAAAGGACTTGAAACACTTTCGCAATTAAGTTGAATAGATCATAGTTACTTCTTTAACATGTGACTTCACCAACATTATTCTTGTGCAAATCAGATCACAGGAGAAATCGGCTTAGAACTGGAGCGCAGTACTTGGAATGTTTTATTTACAATAAGAATTCGGCATTACAGAGACTTGAGAGTAGACTTGAATACACATTTTCTAAATTCAAGAAATCTTGAAATTTCTATCAAAAGATCTGTATATGTAAATATAATCTATCGTTCGCCACCAGCGCGCTGGCGGGATTGTCACAAGGTGAGAATCATTTTCCCGACAACGAAGTGTGATTCTCAAAAAAAAAAAAAGCAAAACAAGACACTATGAAGATTGGAAGCGGTTCAGTACTTAAGAAGAGTCAGCTGAAACAAACCCTACACCATTCATCGGCCAAGTCTCAGGCTCTCATAACTTTATTCTTTCCGTAAAGTAGCCGAAATTCAAGGTGTTGCGAGAACGCTTGTCAAAATAAGAACACGTGTTTACCCTATTTTTTTCAAAGATGTGATACCAGGTTTGGAGCTTTCAGTCACTTGTAGAAAGGGAAAAATTATGAAGCTGATTCTGATCCTTTATTATATTATCAACTTGGGAAAAAACATGTGAGCAGCGAATGCGACTCTTTTATTCGTCTGACCAAATTCCAACATCAATTTCGATAAAACTAGGGCAGAATGCGAAACTTTCATCTGAACGACATATCTAGAAGCACCCGTTTGGAATCGCTGCGACATATGTTGAGAAGGCTTTGAGAAAAAGGCTGTAAAGCCGAACTTTCTCAATATATATCATAAGGATAACTGCACCGCTAGTTTATGTCCTCCAAAACTTTCCTCAGCTTTTCATCTAAAATATTATCGATTGGAATATCCTGTGATCACAGGTGTAAAACCTAAAGTACAGAACTCACTTGCATATATCTGAGCCAGAAATGGAAACTGCGTTTGGAAATTGAGTTTTGCTGCATCTGACAATCTTCCATACCGGTCCATGATATCAAGCATCTTTTTTGTCATATGTATGCGGCTTGGTCGAAGACCTTCTTGTTGTCGCCCAGGAGCGTTGAGGAATATCTGTTGTGTATGATATTTGTAAAAAGTCATCTGAAGTTAAAACGAGTTTGTCCCACATCTTTAGCGAACGCCTGAGCTTCAGGTATTAGCGCGTCAATTTTTCCTCCTACCAGTGTTTGAAATTCTCTTATTTTGGCTGCAAGGCTCGGTGATCTTATCTCCAAAGCAGCCATTCCCTTCAAAAGTCTATTTTCTATTGCTTATGAATAAAGAGGCTACGACACTGAACCTACCTGTTCTTCATTCAGGAAAGTAGCATTTCGTCTAATTTCGGCTAGAACGACTTTATCGGCATCAGTGAGACTATTCACGAAATCCCTTAACTCTTTGGGGATCAGCTCTGAAGCCTCTTATTAGTTTTGGGAACAAATCTATCGTAAGCGTATACCTATAATATCAGGTGGTGAATCATCGACTTTGTTCGTTTTGGTGAACGGAATCAAAACACCGAGAATGAGCACCATTCGAAGCATTGCTAGAAACTCAGAATATTGATACGATCGTGAGGAAATTCGTTGGCATTAACACTACTTTACAAGATTGAACGAGTTTATGCAAGAGCTGTCAAGATGGAGAAATTTTACTTCATTAGAGGTTTAGAGTCAGCAAATAATGAGACATTCGAAGAAGTGATTTTCAGCTGCTTCTAAGTTATCACTGCTCGCTTAGTTGTTTTGGCAGTCTAAATCATTCCAAGTCCTTCTGACCTCTTTATGTTTATATATGGTAAAATAAGTGTGCGAATCGCAAACCAGAACTTTCAAGAATTTTCCAGCTCATCCGGTGATGGGAGTGCTCACACGAATCAGAAGGCTATGATTAAATTCAATATCATATTTTGCAAAATTGAAGCTTATTTGGGGAAAGATTGCGCATCATTAATAGAAAAATGGAAATACATTTCATATCAATTTGCATTTTTCTTATTCGTGTAATTATAACATAGAATTTTGCCGGAATTTAAGCTCATTTTTGGATCTTAATACGCAAAGGCCACTAAATAAATAATATACCTACTAGAAGCTTGGATCGCTAATGTTCGAGAGCGAAACAGTTTGGAGAGAATAACTAGCAGATAGTTTAGATTCTGCTCTTGCCAAAATTTTTGCGCTAAATGTGATATTTTTTAGCTGACCAGGTTGTCATTGTAAAACAATCATGCTTACAAGGAAACCGTGTCAAGTCGAAGTGGCCTTTCCAGATGAGACCCATACTGCTCTAAAGAGCATTTATCGGTGATTCCAAATCTGCTTTCCAAATCTGCCAAGCGCCTCTGGACGCCGTGTTATGCTCGTTTTTCACGTCGAAAAATGAATGCAGGATTTAGGTAAAATTGATTGTTACAATCTTTCCAGCGCTCAGATGAAGCAATGTTAAGTATTAGCATATTCAATAAAATGTATCCGTTGCATAAACAGCTTTGGAACTTGACACTGGACCACTTCAGCAAATTTGGGCTTGGCAGATTTGGAAAGCAGATTTGGAATCATCGATAAATGCTCTTTAGAGCAGTATGGGTCTCATCTGGAAAGGCCACTTCGACTCGACACGGTTCCCTTGTTAGTTAGGAAACTCGCTCAAGTGTGAAGAAGTCAAATAAGATTCAGACAAAAATAAACTACGGGGGCAAAAATACAGCTATGGCGGTTAGTGACAGATGTATCGATAAATCTCTAGAAATCATCCACCAATGAAGGATGCTATAAAAAAGGGGAAGCAGAATGTCAAGACGTACATTCCACTGCATGGAAATAGGACAGGAAAAAAAGTGCTTCAATCTTTCTTCGACGACGTGACCTCTTAATTGCTTTGTTTTATAGCAGACTGAAGGACAGTTGATGACTGGTGATAAGTTCACGGTCATGGTCAAAACAATGAAAATGGGGCACATTCTGTGTTCGAGGTCGCCAAAGCATATGAGACTAGCGACCCTACGGGTCGCTAGTAAGTGGGCTGGGGCAGATACATTGATGATTGTCTGCCATCTAAGAATAGCAAGAGAATGAATTCCCATTTTTTTCAACAATCTTTTTCGCAATGCAAGTAGTAGTAATAGAAGCAAGATCAGGCTGTCAAGGAAACTTTTTACAGCGACTAACTACCAAATCACATACGCTGTTCTTCTTTCAAGTACTCAATCCCAGCTCCTAAAAATGGAAATCGCCGAAGAAGTCATCTATGTAGAACAGCTGATTCAACCCGAAATTTGGGCTGACTGTCAGGAATGTGCGACGGCCGCAAACACATCGAGCTTCGAGATCATGCACAGTCCTATACTCTTCTTATAATACCTCGCGAAGTCATTTCTTGAAGAGAGACCAAAGTCCGCTTAAAGCTTTCTCCTGGTCGATCTTAGCAAACATGTCCTGCCGCATGAAGCCTCTGGGCCTTCCTTCCCCTAAGACCGCTTTTTCTGCTTTTAGGTGCATACGATTTTCTCGAAGTAGAAGCGGTCAAAAGTGGGTATCAATTGAGCTTTTGTCTAATTTTGCATCAAACCTAAGAAATCCTTAGCAGAAAAGTTTCCCGCTTGAAGCACTTGGAACTTTCTTTCCTTCAAGACCAAGCTCCCTTTCCTTTTTTGCTAAAGGGGGCAGAAGTATGATTTCTGCGAAGTAAAAGCGGCCAAAGTGGGTTTCAAGCAATATATCTGATAAGTTAGCATTCTTGCCGCATAAGCCCTCGGGACCTTCCTTCCCTCAAAACCAAATTTGCTTTGCTTCTTCATTATAGGAGACAGAGGTATGATTTCTGCGAAGTAAAAGCGGCCAAAAGTGGATCAAGCGAGCTTTTGGAATTCCTAGCAGAAATGCACTGCCGCATGAAGCCCTTAAACCTTCCTTCCCTCGAGATCAAGTTCTCGCTTTGCTCCTTTGTTATAGGAGGCAGAGGTATGATTTCTGAGAAGTAAAAGCGGTTAAAAGTGGACTTCAAACGAGCTTCTGTATAATTTAGCATTGAAACTGAGAAATTATCAACAGAAACGCGCTGCCGCATATAGCTGCTGCAGCTACCCTCCCTTCGAGAACAATCCTCCTCTGCTCTTTTGATTTTTTAAGGCAGAAGTACGATTTTCGCGAAGTAGAAGCGGCCAAAATATTCCAAGCATGTTTTTGTGAGAAGCCTGAAACCCAAAGAATTATACCAAAAATGACTGTGGCATGAACTCATTAGGTCTTTTTTACCCTTAAGACAAGCTCCCTCTGCTGTGTTGTTTTTATTGGCAAAAGTAGAATTTCCACGAAGTAGAGCAGCCAAAACAGATGTTCAGCAGTTCCCTTGAAATTTTACATTGAAATGATACAAACTGAAACTCAGGCTGATTTTCAGGAACTGTGTCATGTTTAGCTTCCAGTACCTGAAAAACCCAGACATGTAAATTTTTTCAAAGCGGCTTTGATCAAATTTCGTAAAATGTCCCCGAACGACAACGTAGAGCTTTGCATGATAGCAAAGATCGGTGAGTATACCATTGCTTGTGCATAGAGCTCTCTCAGTTCTCTACTTTCTTTTGAACGCTTTTCCGCAATCATACGTTAGCTTTTGATTCCCTGTAGCGATTCTGAAAAATATGGAGTTGTTCACTGGATGAAGGAACCTTATGGAATCCTTCTCAGGCAATGGCCGCACACACCGACCATCGCAATCATGCGCAACTCTACATTTTGATAATGTCTCCCGATACAAGAGGTCATTTCTTAGGGTGCCTTCATACCGCGCCGGCAGCTGCCGCTAGCAGCTCGTAGCAACCACTGGCAGCCGGTAACAGCCGCTGCAGCCCGTAGCAGCCCGCAGTAGCCGCCAGCAGCCCGTAGCCGCCGCTGGCCGCTTTTGTCATAAAAGCGCAAAATCATCAAATTCTTGCTGTTTTAAGCGCAAACGCTGACGCTTTCCATCTTCCATGTTTTTTCCTCCCTTTGCGGCTAATCTGCAGTTCCACTTTCACACATTACAAAGTTATTTGAGATAAGCACCGACCAAGGATATATTTGAAGCAGAACCATGCATAAAAATAAACACTGCAAAAACTGGACGCATCCAAAGTCAGACGATCACACCGCAAAGAAACTTTGGCGGAATATGGTTCAACTGCGGAAGGGAAACTGAGCACCAATAAGATAACCAATCTACGGCAACAAGATTTGAATAGCAATAGCCACAAGTATGATATATGAGATCGAATTGCCAACAGGGAGGAAAAAGCGTGGAAAATGGAAAGCGTGGGCGTTTGCGCTTGAAATAGCAAGAATTTGATGATTTTGCGCTTCTATGACAAAGCGGCCGGCTGCGGCTACGGGCTGCTATGAAGGCACCATTATAGCGATAAAGCTCGCTGAAACTTTCCATTGAATAATCTAGCAAAAAGGTCCTGCTGTGAAGCCCATGGCTCTATCCTTCTTTTGAGACCAGCCTCCTTCGCTTTTCTGCTTTTGGGTGCACAAGCATAATTTTCGCGAAGTAGGCGCGCTTAGAATGGATTTCAAGGATTTTTTATAACTTAGCCTTGAAAAAAGGAATCGTTCGGAAAAATGTTCTGCGGCAGTAGCGACCCTAGGGGTCGCTAGTAAGTGAGTTAGGGCAGATACATTGATAACTATTTGCGTGCAACTCAAAATGACAAGGAAATGGACTTCCATTTTCTCAACGAATTTTGGCGAAACGTAAGTATGAAGTCGTAAGAGTAAGATCATACTCTCGAGCAAACTTTTTACAATGATAACTCTCAAATCATCTACGGTGTTCTTCTTGCAGAGCTCCTTTACTTTTCTGCTTTTGAGAACACAAGAATTTTTGCTTGAAGTGGATTTTAAAGATTTTTTTTATAATTTAGCCTTGAAAACAAGGAATTCTTAACAAAAATCCTGCGGCAGTAGGCTAGCCTACGGGTCGCTAGCAAGTGGGTTGGGGCAGATACATTGATAACTGTCTGCGCAATAAAAATAGCAAGAGAATGAATTCCCATTTTCTCACCGATCTTTTTCGCAATGCAAGTAGTAGTAGAAGCAAGATCAGGCTCATTTCAAAGTTTTATTTCAAAATCATTTCCATTTTCTCAACGCTTGGCGCAACGTAATTACGTAGTAGAAGAAGGAAGATTATGCTCTCAAGGAAACCTTTCACAGTGAGTAACTCTTAAATCATCTACGCTGTTCTTCTTGCAACTACCCTACCCAGATACCACAGCTACTAAACATGAAGACCACCTCAGCAGTCATCTATATAGAATAGCTGAATCAACCCGAAACTCAGGCTGACACTAAGGAACTGTGAAACGGCCGCTAACACACCGAGCTTCGCGATCATGCACAGTCCTATACTCTCCTTATTACGTCTCGCCAAGAAACGGTCATTTCTTGAAGCGAGACCAAAGTTCGCATAAAGCTTTTTCTTGGACAATCCTAGCAAAAATGTCCTGTCGCATGAGCCCTCTGGGTATTCAAGAGTGAATTTCAAACGAGCTTCTGCATGATTTAGCA